TGCTCCAGCTTGCACCCATTACCCCTGGTCCTGTCATCGGACATCAGAGAGCAGAGCCTGGCTCCTTCCTCCTGACACTCGCCCTTTACAAATTTATAAACATTAATGAGGTCACCCCTCAGTCTCCTCTGCTCCAAGCTAAAGAGCCCCAGCTCCCTCAGCCGCTCCTCATAAGGGAGATGCTCCACTCCCTCCATCATCCTTGCGGCCCTGCGCTGGACTCTTTCAAGCAACTCCCTGTCCTTCTTGAACTGAGGGGTCCAGAATTGAACACAATATTTCAAATGCGGTCTCACCAGGGCAGAGTAGAGGGGAAGGAGAACCTCTCTCGGCCTACTAACCACACCCCTTCTCATACACCCCAGGATGCCATTGGCCTTCTTGGCCACAAAGTCGCATTGCTGGCTCATGGTCATCCTGCTGTCCACCAACACCAGCACCCCCACGTCCTTAAAAGAATCTGAAGGAAAGAAGGAAAGAAGGGCTGTCCCCAGTAAACTCCCCAGTTTATAGTGAATGTGACATTGTTGGTATGAATAGTATTAATTGGTCAGCCTGGGGTCACCTCCAGACTATGCACATGTTTATCTGAAGACCTTGAAGACCTTGAGCACTCTGGCAACCTGCATACCGGTATTAGCTGAAACCTATAAAAAAGTTTGTATCAACTTTGTTCACATGAGAGTATTGTAGTCCTTACAGAATTGCAGTTTTCCTCAACAGAAAACAGACTTTAAAATTCTGCCTCACTGAATGAGGACACTCTACCTCTGTCACCTCAATACTCTCACTCCTACCCATTGCTTGTCTCCAGATAAAGTAAAAAGTTTTGCATCTGACCACCTGAATGCACACATGCAAAATGCTCTATCAGGTCTGTTAGATGTAAAGGAAATGATCCTCTCCTCCTGGTATAACCTTTGTACCACCAAGAGATCTGTTTTTTATTTACTGTGTTATGTGGCTCTTCATCAGAAAAAATAAGTTCTTCTGTTTCAGCTGGCATAGTAAAAAGGAACTGCACAAAGAAGGGCTGGTCTGACTCATTCCCTCCCTACCATATTGCTTGTCCAATAGAAGATGAGATTCCACTTGAAGAAGTAAGTTTAATTAAATAAGTATGTGAGAGTTCTGCTGACGTTATAGCATTCCTTTCTATTCCTGAAGACCAGTGGTGAGAGAAACTCAGCGGAAGATGAAACTTCTTACCAAGTATGGAATACAATTTAAATTTTACTTTAGTCACTTATTTTGGAGAAATACTAACGGTTTTTTTTTATTCAGGTGTAACAGTTTAATAAAAATAAAGCCACCTGCAAATTCCATATGATCATGCAGTTCTGTTGAACTTGCTTGCAGATTTAACAGCTAGAGATGTATTGCTAAATGTTCATAAAACATGAATTAAGACATTTCAATAATATATGTCCGCAAGTTGATTTTGTGGCATCACAGCACCAATGCAGCAAATGTGCTGTTGTAACACCAGTATTGCAAACTTAGCAATGTCTAAAGACAAGAAGGGTTTCTGGTCTCTCATCCTGCCTAACATAAAATAGCTAATTCAAAAAGAAAAAAAAAAGTTTCAAAATCTACATCTCTGTAATGCAAGTCAGACTTTGGCATATTTCTTCAGCTAGATTTGCACAATTGGTGATATTTAGAGGTTATATGTGAAGGGAATATATAGTGCTTGATCTCTAATAAGAATACAAACTTATTGTACAGATGTGCTTAACTTCCTGTAACTCTTCTCCAGAGAAAAGAATAACTTTAAGTGATTAGAAATAAACTGCCTAAACTAACTCTAGATCTCTACGCTTCCTCTGTACAGGTTAAACACTGCACTTTTGTCTTTACTTGTACAAGTCAGGTGAATATTATCCTTTTTTGTACACTATAGAGTGAATGAGAAGAACATTTATGCTGTAGCTGATGCATTCCATTCAACTTTCTGGAGAGAGTTTAGTTTATATCATCATGGGGAGATCTCTCTTATCTTCCCACTACTTTTTTGTATTGACTACTGTCACACTGTTTAACTCAAACTTCCTTTCCAGCCTCCAAGCCGCAGTCCCTGCTGCTCTCCATAAATAAACAATTACACTGAAATGCAGCTCTTCTCTTTCTTTCCTTCTTTTAATGCTTCCTTAAATTTCTGGTGTACAAACAATCTTAAGTGAGCCTGTAGATTTTTTTCACAGTAACCCACATTTTACCTCAAGGTAAACTCACTTTATCCACTTAAGTGGTTTATCCACTTAAGGATTTGGTTATTTTCTGTGGTTTTAGTCTTTGATTTGTATGGGAAGGTTGCCAGCTAAGCTCAGCTTCTAGAGGTGTTTATTTCCCTTCATTAACTAAAAAAGAAACAAAATAAGAAGAAACAAGATGGTGTTAACAATTAGACATAGAAGTCCTGTGGCCATGCTCTCACACTTCTCATTTTACTATAGACTCAACTGCTCATACTTAGGCAGCTAATATTTAAGCACCTGAAATAAATTATATAAATACTACCCAATATCAGCCTTGCCATGTCTTAAGTGATACCTAAGGCTCAAAACAAGTATCTGCCCTTCCCCACAGCGAACTGTAGCAATGCACTGCATAGGTGTGTAGATTTTAGGACATAATAATATGTAAATGGGACCCAAGAGACAGACCATGATAGATTGAAGAGAAAGATTTGCAGCCTACATGTTACTCATTCTGTTTTCTGCTTTTATGTGTGATAGTTGAAGTCAGCTTATCCTCACTCAGAGATTATTTCTGATAGAGATGCCATTTAAATTGAAATGGATTTTGATTGACATTTCTGACTGAGTAACTATTGAGTTTGGAAGCAAGAAAACAGAGGGAAAAAGCAACTCCTGAGAAAAAAATATTTAAATCACAACTCAGTAAAAATGGAAAGGAAGAATAGATGTCAAAATTGTAAGCAAGAGAGTAGAGTGAAGAAAAGTGGAGAAACATCAGGAAAGGTTGACAGAATTCTGTATTCATCAGATAGTTAGGTTCAAGGAGGATTTTCCTAATATTGCTGGGGAGAAAACACAGTCTAAAATGCAGTGCTTATAAAAATACAGAAGAGCTTTTACAATACCTTCATGGAAGACTGGTTTGTTTTTTTATGGTTTTATGAATAACATTGAAGCCATCCTGATCAGTACAGGTTACCTTCTCAGACTGGGCTGTACCCAGGAAGCTATGGCACGGGTCTGCACAAAAAGACCATAATGAGTGATTTCAGTTGAATTTTACTGTGGGATTAAAAGAGGGGAAAAAAGGCAGTCAGGGATGTGAACAGATTGGAAGCACCAAACAAAGCAAAACTGCCAGAATCAGTAAAACAGCTGTCATTAGGCTGCATGTTATGTGACAAATAATTCTCTTCTTTTATAGCAATCCTACTTTTCTACTATAAAGATAATCTACACTGTAGGACACAGTGTATCTATCACCTCACTCATTATTGCCGTGACAGTTCTTATTGCTTTCAGGTATGTAAACTTATCCTCTACACTCAATTCTTTTAATAGTTCTTAGTATCTTAGTCTGTATCAGACAACATTAGACATAACAAAATAATAGAGAGAGAAATTCAGAAGAATAAAAATAAAGAATTTAGGCCATATTTGTCTAATAATATTAAATTGAGGCTAGAAATGAAAAGTAACCAGAAAGAACAAGACATAAGAAGAATGCGAACTGGGAAAAAAACCCCTGGTTGTCTATTGGCAAAAGTCAGTAACTCACTTGGATCCTGAATAGCCAGTACATAAATTTGCCTGTCTTAGCCTGAATGAGGATATTGTTCTATAAACTATGTATGCTTGCCTTTTATGGCTTCACTGAATTTTATATTAATAAGATTATGCACAAAGAACTCTATTCTGAATCTATATTCTTGCGGCTCTATATACATTATTATTGAAACATTTACAATTAAAGATGTGTTTTAAAAGATAGACTCTGAATTTGGCTACGTTTGCTAAGATTTATTTCCTACTGAACTATCCAGCTATTAGGCATTTTCAGGTATAATTTAGAATATCTAAAGTAAAACCGATTGTTTATTTTCTTATTTAATATAGAATTGATGTTTGCTGCCATGTAGGACTTATTTTATTAATCTTTGTTTATTTCTTGTATTTGTGTAGGAGAAAAAAAAAGAGTTTTATTATTATGCTGTGAGAACCAGGTTTCTCTGGGAAAAGTTTCTTGACCTCTGTTGGTCCCTAGCTCATGTCTGGAAGCCAACAGATATGTTTATTGACATCCACTCTGACCTCAGGAAAACAAACCAGCCTAAATAAGGGGAAAGAAAGAAACAATGGACATACAGAGAGTTAGCAATAGGGAGGAAAAAGCTATAGTTAACAATGGGGTTGGCATTTGAGTTGAGTAATAAAATTCTGAACACTCCAAGTGAGCTTTGAGATTAGGTGACCCTGAGATTACTGGATCTGGATGGAATTCGGCTTTTAGTGGGATTCTTCGCTTATTAGCTAAAAACTTCCGCTCCAAATGAAAACTTATAAAGTCAAAGATGTATAAATCCTCCAAAAGTCTGTGTTTAATGACAAAAATCAGTCTGAATTAACTGAGAATTTAAAGTAGATGTGCCAGATGTTTTTAAAGCTCTTATCTATGTACATTTAATTCATAAGAGTAAGCTTAGTAAACTAATGAAGAATTTTTTAATTCTGGATAAGGTTGTCTATACAGGGTTTTAATGTAATTTAACTCACCCGTGGCATAGGATATAGTGATTTTTCATACAATAATTTTAGGTAATTACCCTGTTCATTGAGAAAACTGTCTAGTTAATCCAGGATATCTTTGGATGCTTTTTCCTGGGAGTGGTTTAGCCATATTCAGAACTGTAACAGTAAGCATCGTTCCTCAAATACAGGTTACTCTTGGCCTAGAAATAATGACAACCGAAAGCCGGGCTCAAGTATACTGAACACAAACTGAAACAGAGAATCCTGGAATTTGGCAGACCAGAAACATCACTAAGGAAGGAGATTAACATGTAGACTGTGCATGAACTGCTTTACATGAGGAAGGTTTGAATCTCTGCCTGCCTGCAGAGCAAACTCGGTGGATAAAACTCTTCTTTCTATAAGTATCTGGAAGAACTTGAAATGAAACACAGACTTATTGCATATTTGAATTACTGCCAGCAAAATTCAGTTAATTACCTCAGAATTACCTTCTTTTTTTCTTCCAGGAGGCTTCGATGTCCCAGAAATTATATCCATGTGCAGCTCTTTTTTACTTTTATCTTAAAAGCTATTGCCGTTTTCATAAAGGATGCTGTCCTTTTCCAAGCAGAAGACATTGATCATTGCAGCTTCTCTACAGTAAGCCCATGAAAAGCGGGATATCATGGTTCTTGATGTTTTTGCACGCCATCTAGATACAGTTTCACTTTTCATTGCTGTTTTTTACTACTTATTTTTTTCCCCCTTTCTAAGCTTGTAGTGAAAATTACCTAATTCTTCTATTCAGTGTGTTTTATCTCCATAAGCGCCCTTCTATGTTCTGAATGCATCAACTTGTAATCCTGTAGTACCAGATACATTCTTTGCCATAACAGATAGTTTTTGTCATAGAAAACAAAGTATCTTTACACTGCTACACTTCTGTCGTCTGAAGCCTAAAACCGAAGATCTCATAGTACCTCGTAACACTTTTAAAATATGTTTCTTCTGGAAAAGTTTGTTTTCATTTTCTGACTGGAAGCTCTGAATTGTAAACTACAAGACACACTAGATACTCAGGCAATCAACTTAGCAAGCACATGTATCCACGAGTAATCTCTAAACTGTAACTTTCCCATTCCCTAGACTGAATGCAAGATCTCAGTTGTTTTCTGTCACTACTTCATGATGACCAACTTCATGTGGCTGCTGGTAGAGGCTCTTTACCTGAACTGCCTTCTACTCTCATCCCTTTCTCATGGAAGAAAATATTTTTGGTGGCTTGTTCTCTTTGGCTGGGGTAAGTAAGGCTTTTATATGGAATTAATAAATAGCAAGATGTTACAAAAGACTTTCTCCATCCTATTAAAAATATTAGATATGAAATCTAGTCAGCCTAATTGAAATGCTCAACATGGACGTTGCTTTGATTTTACTTTTATTTGAGTACTAGTGAGGATCAATCTAGCTTTTTATAAGTATGGCATTATAGTCCCTATACAAAATCCAAAAATTAAGCACACTTGAGAATCCACAGAGAGATATCCAGTCCAGTTAACCTTCTTTTTCCCACTAAAACCACAGACATCTCTAAGAAGCTACCCCAAGCACCTAAGTTAGGTGTATCTGGCTTTGTCCATGCCATATATAGTTACATAGTCTTCTTCTGAGAATGGGTCCATCTGGAGGCATGGTAGGCATTTTTGTAGTGCTCATATTGCCCATCTTTTGCATTGGGCAATTGTGTTTACAAAGCAATTGCCTAGGAGCTCTGTCCACTAAATAACAGTGCAGGTATGAGACAGCAGGATCCCCAGTCATTTTTGTTGTACTCTAAAATAAACCTAATTCTTCACACCTTTGTGGTCACTTAATTTCTATTAAGTGGATGCCAATATAAAACTGCTGTGTAAAAGAAAAAGCTGAGAACTCCTATATGGCAGATGAGTTCACATGCCTGGGGGAATTTTTGGTCAGTTCAGGGATGCAATCCATGCATGTTGCTACCAAAAGGTAAAGTAGACCTGACAACTAAGCAAAGTAAATCACTTGTTGTGTTTTAGGGAGATTTCAATTGCCTTTTCTGGAAGGTTTAATGTACACTGCACCACATTTGGTGTTTGCAATGTGCTAATATCACTATTATTTTAAGATTTAGTAAATGTTATAATAGATCTTATTATTAACATTGTTATTAATAAGCACACTTATTACAGAAATCTGGGATTTATTGTGTTATCTGAATACAGATCCCTCTCCGGGGTAGATCCCACAGGTGAATTGTTTTCATGTTAGTAAAAGGCTGCAAGGTCAGATCTCAGGGGCAGAACTATATAATGTGCAAAGTATGTCCCTTTATATCTTCAAAGTGATGCATGGTCACCAAAATGTCAACGCCATAACTTGTTTCATTCCTTCATGGGTAATAGGAGATTTCTTTTTAGGTCTATACTATGAGTCTAAAGTCCTATTACACGAACAGGCCACAGAAGGTAATTCCAGTTTTGAAAATGAATTATCTTTATCATCATAGCAGAGTTGCAGTGGAAAGTATTTGGACTAATTGATGAAATTCAACAACTACAGTTTTTGTTTCACTGTCTAACAGGTTTTCCAACACTTTTCACCCTTATATGGATATTAGCAAAATTCTACTTTGAAGACACAGCGTAAGTTATTGACTCCTACATCAGTCTAGATTCCTGAGTTATATTTTTAAAATAGTGATGAAACTTATGTAATTTCAATTACATGGGAAGATAGTATCAGTATATTGCCTATCTTTCCCTGCAATACCAAGTAGATTAGTGCCTGTGGTGGAGTTCTGCATTTCCATTTCACTACGGACATACTGAATGGGGATTGCAATCTCCATCAGAGTATATGACGGCGATGATATTGTAGTAGTACAGGGGATCCTTCTAGGAACCTGAAATATTTATTTGTGCTGCAAGAAAAAAGTGATTCTAATCAAATAAACAGAGTAAGAAACCAAAATTTTAGGAGGTTCTGATGCAAGTTACATTTTGTTATTTATGAAGCCTGGAAAAAAAGAAAAAAGAAAAAAAGAAAAAAGCTGTATCTTTTTATCAGTCATCGCATCATCTGTTTAAGTCCTTTGTCACAGTTGTTGCATCCATAGCTGTTGCTTAATACATCAAGAGTACTATTTCTTTTTGAAATAGTAAGATAATCTGTAAAGAGTATGTCCTGTTAAAAACAGAATGTAAATATTTGGATACTTGCACTGTACCTGCACTTCCACAAAAATATCTCTCTTCAGATTTTCGCTGACACTGCTAGGTGGTGTCTTAATTGTAGTGAATACATACACAACTTTTCTAAACTTACTGTTAATTTCTCAGATGCTGGGATATTAATCAAGGCTCTCCATACTGGTGGCTAATCAAAGGACCTATTATAATATCTGTTGGGGTAGGTACTTCTAAAGTTATCAACGTTAATTAGAAGAAAAATTACTTTTAAGTTAAAATCTGGTTGTTGTTTGCTGAAAGGTTGTTTGAAATAAGGAAGAGGAATGGTAGAATTTCTGCTTTAAACTTGTCTGTGTCCAAAGCAAACTACCCCTATATACTTCAAAGAAATTAAAAGTTCCATAGAATTGTCAGTTTGGTTGAAATTAATGGCAGGTAAGAGCTTAAGCCATCCTTACAATATTTGAAAACACACACACACACACACACACACACACACACACACACACACGTACATAAGTTTTAGCCAGAATAATCCATACATTCTAATGCAAATTTTCAAGGGCAATAGGTTTCTGTTCATAGGTGATAACAATGATAATATCTCTTGAGCCTGACATTTAATGAACAAACTGATAGGCTTTAAATGGTTATTCTGTATGATTACTCCCACATGTCATTAAACTGAAGCAATGTTTGAGAAAGCAGCTAATGAATGGCTTTAAGTCCATCTATTAAAATCTTAATTTAATTGGAGGACAAATGCATACAAAAAAAGCATATAAAGGCAAACAATGTGAATGGAAAATCTCAAGTTGATTCTGGTCATGGTTTTCATGTTTCAATAAAATATCAGATTTCCTTCTACATCCATTATTTTTCCCACTACTGGTGCTCATCTGAAATCCACATTTGAAGTCAAGAGAAACAGAGGATTGCAGTGATGATTTTTTTCTGCTGGAATGTACTTAATGTATCACTGCTGGATAAAACAGATTGGAGTTTATGGTAAAATGTGGCTATTCTTAGGGAAAATTAAGTATTCGGCTTCACCTAAAGAAGAGCTGTTGTATATAGACACACTCAAAAAAGAGTGCAATATATTGATGTACTTGAATTCTGGCAACAGGAATGAAATTAATAATCTTACATTGGTCTCATTGAAACTGTACCAATTACACAACAATTGAATTTAACAAAACAGACTTGCATTGCAAAGTTTTCCATTAGCAAGTAACATTTTTTCTTTCTTCTAATATTATGAACAGGTCAATTTTGTCCTATTTATCAACATCATCAGAATTTTGCTGAAGAAACTAGACCCTAGACAAATCAACTTCAATAACTCTTCTCAGTACAGGTAGTGTATTGAATAATTTTGAAAAAATCAATTATTTTAATAATAAAAACTTATATTATTTTTTCTAAACAGAGAAGCACTTTTCCAGTATCACAGACAAGCTCAGTTTTGCTGGCATTAAACTTTAGAGATTCCCAACCTTATCTCATTCCCAAGGAAACTAGTCAAAGGATGAGACTCATCTCACCTAATACTGGTCATCTCAACAAGATGTATTCAGATCAGTTCAAATATCTACCTTCCAACTAAAATCAATGGGGCTACTGGGAAACCATTCACTGAATCCACATTAAATCTCTGAGTTAGGGCAGGATAAATTACCCTCTATAGGTGCTTTTTCCTTTACTTGGACTATACAAGGAGCCTGCATATTACTTCCTCTGTATATACTTACAAATAAATGTCAAATTTTCAGTGACTCCGATGGGGCAAAATATGTTCTACTCCTTTGTGTTTTCCTGAACTGCAATCTCAGTCAGAAAAACAGAATGTCAAAATACCATAAGAAAAGCCATGAACATGGTATTGCCAATAAGGCACTAAGCATCAGAAATCTATTTCCAGCTAGTTTCTCAGTATGCTTTCTGCCCAGTACTGCAGTCCCAAGAGATATAAACTTCACATGTAGATATTTAGATCCTCTTTTTAACTTCTGTTTGTTACTGTTACATATTGCATGCATTAGTCTTTACTCAGGAAAATAATATTACCTTATATGTCCTTATCGTGTCCTGTGCTAGACGACTCTCAAGGTCAACTCTGCTTCTAATTCCATTATTTGGAACCCATTATATTGTCTTCAACTTTCTTCCGGAATATACCAGCCTGGGGCTTCGGCTTTACTTAGAGCTCTGCATTGGATCTTTTCAGGTAAAATGACCACAGAGGCTTCAGTTCCTTCTTAGTGGATTTTCTAATTGGATCTAGTGTCCACATGGCAACTGTTATTGCGCAAATTATCATTGTATTCTGAAGCAAGTATCTCCTCACAGAGTTCATGGTTCTTTGCTGAGTTACACTATCTGAAGATGTGACCTACATCCTATTTGGCTGTAGGCTAGGCTGTATATTTGCAAATTTTGCAAATACAAGACCAGGTCTTGTAGATGTGTAATTGGACAGCGGATCAAAGTCACTCATGGAAAACCTTCTTTGCTACCAGCGGTAATCCAAGTACCTTCCCTGACAAGATCAATCTGCTTTGGGCTGATGTTATCCAGAATTTATCCAGGAATTTGTTTATTTATCCAGGAACTATCAAGAGCAATCAAAGCTGTAGGTCCTTCCACCTTTCAAATTCTTTGGAAAACAAATAAATAGGTAAGAACATATACACAGAACAGTGACTGATGCACATATCAGCCTCACACAGACTACTGCCCTGAAAAATGCTACACACTTTCACCTCCTGCGTAGGCAAAATGTTTTGTGTACTTTCAATGATGCCAACTGCTCTGAATTGACACATAAAGTAAGGACAGCTTGAGGAGTTTGAGGCCAACTAGAACAGTTACTGGGGCTCTTTCGGTGTACCCTCCAGATGGCTTTACTACTTGATTTATGACCAAGGCACTCAGCACTCAGCTCCCCTTTTCTTTCCTCCCTTTCCCTGTGCTGTGCCTCACAGTTTACAAGCAGCAGCTGTAGGCAATCCTACCCACCTGCACAGGGGAGCATATCTCACTCTGATTGGTTTCATAGCATCATTTGTCAGTGAGCATCACCAAAACTCCAGCAGTTGTGTTGGTTTAGTCCTCTTGAGGATTTAATCCATTCCGTCAATCCTGTCCAGTGCACACTGGACACCTCAGTCCTGACCCTCCGTACCTGGAGCTGGCCTTCATTGAGTTAATTAACAATGTAAGAAATAAGTGAACCGGATAGAAGGGTGAGGGTTTTAGCTGGAAACTGATCACATAGGTCCATTGGTCTCCTAGGATTTTCCAGGGTTTATCTCAGTTCAGAACCTTAACAAAAGTATTCAATAGTCCAGAATTTGTTCTTATCTGATTTACTGCAAAGACACACAAGTTGACTGGAAAGCTGATAGAGCTCCATACATGGATCTTCTTATGAAATCTATGTTTCCTTACTGGTTTACACAGTGTAAAGAATTAGCTCACAGTGTGTTTGGCTATTGAACAGATCATGCTTTTGTAAGTGTAACATGGGAGAACTTCAATTGCCATATCATCTGTTCTTGTGAATTCATACTGCTTTACTGCCTGGTGAAATACCATTAACTAGTTTAACGAGATAATCTGGCTGATCCATTTTATTGAAGATACATATAGAATTTTTCAATTTATAAAAGTCCTCCAGCCTATAGTGACACTCATCAATTCATATACACAGCACTATCATGAAGTCAGACAGTACAAGTGGCTTTTTCAAACCGTGCTAACACTCCACCTTTTCTTTTTTGGTGTTTTTCAGGGGTTTATTGTAGCAGTTCTCTACTGTTTCCTGAACCAAGAGGTAAGGAAAGTATATCCTTTACAATATTGATTTCATTGGCAGATATATAGAGTTAATAATCAGTGTCCTACAAACAAAAATACAATCTTTTAGTTTCTTAGGATTGTCTTGTTTACATGGGAATCAATGAAGTTCAATTTCGTTTCAATTATCTTCATGGGAATGAAGCCATCTAGTGGAGAAAGAAAATTTTACTACTTTGCTATTCCATCAAACATTTTTTATCCTATCTACATATTTTTGTGCTATAGCAGGCCTTGGAAAACTTCAAAGTACAAGCTGCTGCAGTGATGCAAAGTGATCTTCATTTACTAAAGGTCTATGAATAAATTGGAAAGAGTTCAAATTAATACTGGTTGCCCAATACTGAAATATTATTTTTTAGTATTTTTAATACAGTTATAAAGCTTCCCAGTATTTCTTCATGTTGATAAATATGGGTTTTTTTCACTTAGAGCATGTCAGAATTTTACTGCTGATTGGACAGTAATCATTCTGTTATAGGGAACTTTATAGTTCATCATCTGTATTTTAGAATGGGTTGAAACCCTGAAATTGCACTATGCTTTCTGAGTACAGGGTAGACGAGATGGCTATTTCACAGTATGGCTGGGATTTGGTTTCATACTACACTAGCAATCTACTGTTTTCTACCTGCAGTTCCTAAAAAGGAGTCGTCTCCTGATTCATGTGTACCACCATACAGGGCAGTCCGTACAGTGTCAAATTGTGTTTAGGGAGTGAATTCTGCCCCTAACCATCACAGTCAGTGAAATATCTAAATGACCAAGTACAGTTGTCTGTGTTAGAGACAGCTGACCCACTTGAGACTCCCTGGGCTATATTGACTGTATATCCATTTTCCAAGTTTAAAGCCTAGGGTGGATTGAGCTTTAAAACTGTATTTAATTATCTACATATACCATGGTGTGCACTCAGTTTTTTAAGAAATTTCTGAAATATTAAAACAAATATCTTCAAATACATTAGCACTTCTTATCCTCTTTGTTGAGTTTATTGCTATGTATTTTTTATTATTCTAATGATGCTCGTGTTCAGTTGACAATCCTTTTCACTAGTGTATTAATAATCCTTATCTCTTCTGATGGTAGATTATAGCTCTACATTCAGACTGCCATCCCAGGCATAGAGGACTTCAATTTAGAAATTTCCTTCCTATTAAACATCCAGGAAGGCACATTTCTTATGAGAATCAGATGTGAAAGCAGGCTTTAGTGTCTGGTCTGGACCCACCTTTCATTTCTGTGAACATGCCAATGCATGGCATACGTATTTGTCAACAAGAGAAAGCAAATGTCTTCTGATTGCTGATGGCTTTTCACTTACCACCATGAATAGCAAAGTAATATTATTTCTCAGGCAAAACCTGCTGAGTGTTGATTAAGAAACTTGCTGTAGATTATATGGTACTAGAAACAGATGGAAACAAGGTGTCATTCCTTAGCAACTGAGTAAGAGCGAGCAATGTGGAGAGAATGTGCTCAATTGTGTAGGCAACGTTTGTGAGACCATTACTGGAATAAATTTTCAAAGGAAAATTAAAAAAAAAAGAGAGAAGATATAAAAATATCAGAAAATATTCTACTGATGGACAAAATCTTTTACAGTGCTGAAGTTAGAGACCTCAAGTCCTTTCCTTTCTCAGAAGATTGAGGTGACCTGATTATGCATAAAGATATTAAAACATAACGACTTAGATGGGAGAAAGTTACTTAATGCTGATAGACTTTTTGGTTTAGCAGGAAAGGGAAGGTGGACTCAGGACCACCAGGTAGAAACTGGTTAAAAAAAATGGAAGTTATAAATGGAAGTGGGACTATTTTTGTTTATTTAACTGTGTGACAGCTCCAATAATAAGCTTTGATTGTTTTGCCCATGGGGCCCGTTAAGTAGGAACACAAGACTGGGTAAACTTACATAAAGTATCTCCTTACTTCTTGAAAGGAAGAATGGGGTTCATTTTCCATTTTCAATATCTTAGGCCAACTCTGAGCTAGCCACTCTAATTTTATTCATCAGTGCAAAGGTATGGACATGCTGAGACAGCCCAGATGGAAACATTCTGTTGAGGATCCTACTTTTCTCTATTAGCTTGGAAGGGAGAGCTGAAGAACTAATTTGAGCTGAGGTATCTAAATTTTACCCTTCTCTAGCTGCTATTTCTTTCTTTCCTCTTTCTCACTGTTCCCAAGCAGCATTTGACCACAAAATAGCATTTTCCTTTCCTTTTGAGGTGCAAACGGAAATTGGCCGTAGGTGGCACGGTAAAAGATATGGACTTATGCCAGCGTGGAGGAGGACGAGATGGACTGTGCCATCTAGTTCTGGAGTGAAAATGACCACATCTGTGTGCTAAAGATGGCCTCAGGATCTGGAGTAATCACGTATAAAAGACTGCTTAGAAAAACCAACCAACAAATAAACCAAAAACCCCACCAAATTTAATGTTTGAAGTTTATACTGAGCAAATTGGAGGAGGATCCACTTCTACTGTGATTCTGTCCACTGGTCGTCTTTTGCAGGACAAGTATTGCAGTGACAGATTAAAGACCGACTGGCCTTCTAAACACAAAATAACCCTCTCATCAATACACTATGCATCACAGCAAACACAAAGATCACCTCTTCTTGGTTTATTACCTGTACACATTCACTGATTAACCATACAGCATAATGTGTCTAGGGAGTGGACACCAGTAGTACCCTTCATTGACACCACAGATGACCAGCTCAGGAAATTGGAATTTGATCCTCATGCAATTGGAGCTGATCAACCAGCTTGTTCAACCTTTGCTACTTGTTTTGATTCATTAGACACACAAATAAGAAGTCAGATGTGTGGTTAAACTTCAACACAATGACTAAAAAGCCCTCTTATATTGTCTTTTTGTATTGTCTCTTCAGAAGCAAAAAGCTTCAAAGTTCACAATAAAATTCAATACACTTTCATATGCTGATGTTATTTCAGTAGCTACAGGTTAGAAAATTACTGATAGCCAAGTAGGAGAAAGAGGAGGTGTTGGGAAGGACAAGGCTGTATGAAATAATCATTAAGGAATAACTGCTCTTTGCAAGTAAGTTAAAAAGAAAAGCAAACCTTTGCACAGAGAGAGAATGAGACCTACAGGATACCGACTAGGAGACTGTTAGGAATACTGCTAAGTATTTTCTTATGTGTGACTATTTTTGCTCTCCAATGTTGTAAAACATTCAGAAGCTTGAAAATAAACTTGCATTCTCAGTGTTTGTACTTGAAGAGCTTTGTCTGGTTGGTTTATTTGGTTTTATTTCTACTTCTAATGTGAAGAAATGGGATGTTACGTCATCCAGATTTTATGTAAAAGCTAACTGTCAAGGAGGTGTCTTCCTCTTGCAATTAAAAAAAAGGGATTTTACTTCCGTCTGTGAAAAACACAGCAATGGCTTAATTCAGATCTGAGGGTAGGAGAAGAGTCTGAGGGAGCAGTGTGAGGGGAAGGTCACAAACTGGAACACAGCGAGTTCAACTTACACGTAATGAAAAACGTCTTTACTGTGAGAGTACCAGGGCATTGGACCAGGCTGTCCAGGGGGATTGTGGAGTCTTCTTCTCTGGAGACATACAAAACCCTCCTGGACATGTTCCTGTGTGACTTAGTCTAGGTGATCCTGCTCTGGCAGGGGTTGGACTGGATGATCTTCAGAGGTCCCTTCCAACCCCTGCCATTCTGTGTAGCTGTGATTTCCACCTCTGTAGTGACTCTTTGGAACACATATTGCAATGTGGGGTCCAAGATATTTTTTATATTGGTTTCTTTCCTGTATCCGAAAGGATTCAAGGTGAGCTGAATGAATTCAAGGTGAGCTCATTGAATGACTGGGGATCTGTTGAAAGTAAGCAATGTGGGGTCCAAGATATTTTTTATATTGGTTTCTTTCCTGTATCCGAAAGGATTCAAGGTGAGCTGGATGGAAGCAGGTGTTGAATGACTGGGGATCTGCTGAAAGTAAGAGACTAGCAGAGAGATGATGCATGGCTTTCAGTGTCATATAGCATCTGGCTATTGTAAAAAAGTGGCATAGCATGTAAGCACAAGTGTCAACAGAGTTGGATGAATCTTCTTTCCTGGAGATGAATGTTTTTATGCCTCCAAAATATCATGGTCTCTATCAGCTAGAACAGAATCCAGCACAATAACTCATCTAAGACATATAAACTTTACCCATCTCATACTCAGATAGAAAATTTCCTACAGACGCTGCATTTTTGCTATTGTACAATTAACTGTGAAGTGACAAATTTACTCTGAAGACGACCATGCTTTGTAATTGGAAGATAAAAGAAGAGATGATTAAAAAACCCAAATAAAAGTCTTTCTTCTGCTGAACAGATCAACCATTGTCTGGCTCAGATGATTTCTGAGTGTGTCATATTAAGACTCCTGTAAGTCTTGACTGTATCAAATGAATTTTCTGTCTTGTAATTAAGACCTACTATTCTGAAATGGTGTTACCGTGATGACTTTGATATTAAATGGACATGGTACTAACAGATGTGAAGGCATGTGAATACATGGACTTTGCAGAGCTCTTGATCTCTGCCTTTATGGAAGTCTGCTTTAAGGGCTTGCCCTAAAATCCCTCTAAATGAAGAATACCAGCAGATTGACCAAATAATTTCCTTTGGCTTTGTATCACATATAATAAGGACAATTATTTGTCTACATTACAGTAGCTGTGGCACCCATTTTCACCTGAATAGGGCCATCAAGCACTAGGTCTTGGTCCTTTTCTGGTCATCTCAGCATTTTCTAAAGTGAACAGAGGCAGGAATCTTCAGAGACCATTTCATTCCTTCCTGAAATAAACAGCTACTGTAGTGGGAATACTTTCTGTGGGATAGCTGAAATCAGAAACAAAAGTGTCTAAAATCAGAAGCCATGAGTCTATTTAGTTAGAATAATAGTATCAGTTATGACTAGCCATGACATGGATGTTAAAGTTACATTACGTTTTTAGCAAACTGAATCTTGAATATTAAGTGCTAAGAAGAATTAAAAAACTTAAGCAACTCAGTTTTTCAGGAAGGGAATTGCATTTAATTTAGATATTTTTTACCGAGCTTAACACTAGCTTAGGAACACGTGCATGCTTATCACTTAAGATTATGTTTCTGCAAGTTCTTGTCTGTCACATGCAAAGTTTGATAAAACAAGTAAGGAAAGTGTGAGTAGCAGAAACTCCTTAACCTTTGAAGAATAAATTTTGCGAAGTATTATTTACTTTCACTTGGAGGAGGGCCAGAGCAATGGAAAATTGACCTGAAGACAGCGAACCATTCCCAGGCTGTGCAAATTGCTGCAGGGTTTACACAGCAAAGAATAAAGACAGGATTAAAACAGAGTTTCCAGGTGTGACGGCTGAGCTGATCTCACTGCAGGCTGCAGAGGAAAAAACAAGATCAGCAGTTTTAGGTGCAACTGTCAGGTTTCTGCCACCTTAGGTGCAACTTAAGTCACTTGGAATTAGATTTTATGTTGTATCACAACCACTGTGATGACTCTGATTAACTTTTTTCCTTCTACCTTGAAAGACACCTGGCAGACTCCTAAAATTAAGTAATAATTTTGACAGTATGGCATCACTAAAGACCCTATCTTCCATTTATATTTTTCCGTGGAAATCTCACTGTAGAGTATTTCATTAGTTTCTTCTACATTACACTTTCAGGTAGCATTTTCTCTTAGGATCTTGTCCCTCACTTTTGTCCTCAATTTTTTATCTTTTCAGTGTCAGGCATTCACCCTTTTATACTGTTTTTTCTGACTAGCTTAGTGCCTTACGTTGCTTCCCCATGCATTATAACGATTAATAACTTCAATGACAATCAATAGCAATGGCAAAGTCTCTACTACTAACAGTATATATTTTATATTCTATATCAATAAAATTAAAATAGACAATATATTTTATGTTTTATATTAATTAAATTAAATGGTGCATCATATAATGACTAACAGTGAACATTCTTGGTTCTTCGGTCTTTATCTAACATCAAGACAAGGCTACTGTTATTGGTTTTACACCATGAAATAATTTCAGATTTGAGTGAAACAAGGGCAGCTTTTCAGTGTTTTGCTTCATTTGAATTATGAATCAAGTTGCAATACAGCAAATACTTGGTACCTCTACCAAGGGATGTCTTACAGTGACAATGACGTTGACCTTATTGTAGGTACTGTAAAGAAGCAAAAACATAAAAATACCAGAAGTGGCACAAAGTGTTTAGTGAGCTTTAGATTGATTTTTCTAATTAAAAAAATCTACTTGCAAAATTGGTTATTTGAACCAATTTGTACCTGAAATCCTTCCATGTATTAAGATCCCACATCTTCTGTGTCGCCTGTATGTATCTGCAGGAAAAGGCAGACGTCCTCGTCTATCTATAATAGATTGGGAACAATCGTGAAACATCTTTTTATTATACTGGTACAGTTCCCTGATGATCAGGGAGAGGTCTGGAAATTGAAACAGATCAGACACACATAATCTACAGCAGCTTTGATTGCAAGAGCGACAATTACAACTATACAATCACTGTCAAGCTTAAATTATGCTCTTATATTATCATATTAAGTTATTAATATAGTATCCTTAAGGTGAATGTCTTGCAATTATCCATAAAGAATAAAGCTTTTAATCAGATGTTGCCTACTTCATAATATGTCAGAATGCTGGTGAGGTTTTTGGTTAGTGAAAATGATTTTATAACATATTATGAAAATCTTATAATGAAAGAGCTTAAAAAGTGAATTGCAGCTTGTATGAATATTTCATTACTTTTTTTGCTTGCAGAACATCAACGTTGTTTAGTTGCAAATAAAAATACATAATTTTCACATTTCATGTCATAATATTAAATCACTGGAAATGTTTATTTCTACTATATTTTCATTCAGATGCTATCAATGTTTAATATACACTAATATTTTACAATATGATAAAAGAAAGTGAAAATATTATTTTAAATCTTATGTAGCAATAAGATTTTCCTGTCATTTGGTATGACTGAACAAAACTGCTGTATCAAAGGGGACAATAAATACCTTTCTTGAAGCGACAGGAGCACATACAAGAAATCCTTAATATGGTGTGCACACAAATGTCTGCAATAAATCTGTATTTCTTTATTTCCCTTATTACACTGTCTTCACTTGAGAGACCATCTGTACCACAGTCAGTCATGTGCAGAGCTGTCTAGATGACGATGACATTCTTTGCTCCAGGCTTTGCTTATACAGTGCTTTCTTCTGGCCAATCCACTTCCAAACTGGAGGGCTATAGGTATCCATTTCCTTTTCCCAATTTCAACTCAAG